CAGCAAGAAAAGATGCCACAGTCATCCAAGAAAGACAAAGACTCAGTGAACAAACCTGAGGTAAGACCAAAAAAAAAAAAAAAAAAAAAATGATCCAAAGGCAAAGTTTGGGACAATCTCAATAACCTGGCAACATACGACAAACTCCATAAGGAAGTTCTCAACTATAAACTGATAACTCCAGCTATTGTCTCTGAGACACTGAAGATTTGAGGTTCCTAGCCAGGGCAGACCTTTAGCTCCTTAGTAAAGGATCTATTAAACTGGTTTCAGAGCACAGAGCTCAAGTAATTTACACAAGAAATACTAAGGATGGAGATGCCCTATAGCTGCTGGTGAAGATGTATGAATAGATCCTACCAACTGTACATTTTGAAAAATAAAACTTTATTAAATAAAAACATTAAAAATAGAATTACCCTATCATCTAGTAATTTCACTCCTGGGGAATTTATCCAAAGACTATGAAAACACTAACTCAAAAACATATGTGCACCCTTATGCTTACTGCAACATTGTTTACAACAGCTAAATTATGAAAGCAGTCCAAGTGCCTAGTCTATCAATAGATGAATGGATAAAGAAGTGGCATATATATATTATATATATGTATATACATATATAATGGAATATTATTCAGCCATAAAAAGGAATGACATATTGCCATTTGCAACAAAATGGATGGAGCTGGAGAGTATAACACTAAGTAGAATAAGTTGGCCAGAGAAAAACAAATTCCATATGTAGAATTTAAGAAACAAAACAAACAAAAGAATAAAGAGACTATCAAAAAAACAGACTCTTAACTATAGAGAACAAGTTGATGGTTACCAGAGATGAGGTAGAGTGGGGGTGGGTGAAATAGGTGATGGGGATTAAGAGCACAGTTATGATGAGCACTGGGTAACGTATGGAAGTGTTGAATCACTAATTGTACACCTGAAACCAATATAACACTGTATGTTAACTATACTAGAATTAATTTTTTTAAAAAATTATTAAAAAAACCCTATTTTAGTTGGAAGGAGGACGATGGGGGTCGAAATGAAATAAAATACTGGTAGTTCTTGAGGGCAGGTAGATAGGTAGGTGAGACTTCATTATTCTTTTCTGCCTTACGTCTGTATAAAAATTGCCATAGTAAAATAATTTTAAAAGAGCAAGAAACAGTTTTCTTCCTTTCAGGTAGTCTTTTGCTGCTTCTCTTTTCATTCATAGCATTTACTGTTGTCATTACACATTTCTGAGATTTTTTCTTAAAGATTTTATTTATTTGAAAGAGAGAGCACAAATGAGGGGAGCAGGAGAGAGGGAGAAGCAGGCTCCCCACTGAGCAGAGAGCCTGAGGCAGGGCTGGATCCCAGTACCCTGAGATCATGACCTGTGCAAAAGGCAGACACTTAACTGACTGAGCCACCCAGGTGCCTTGTTTCTGGGATTATTTAATGTTTGTCTCCCTAACTGGACTTTAAGCTCCATGAGGATCACAAATACGTTTGATTAGCTCCAAAAGAATTGCTACCACCTCACAAAGTTACTGGCATGTGACAGGCCTCCAGCAAATATTAAAGAAGTGACTAAACTCAATATGATAAGTCATTTTGTACCTAGGTCAATATCAATAAATGTCTAATAAATAAGAAGGGGAGTAGAAATCCAGGAATCTTTGGATGAAGGAATTCAACATATTTACCTATATATACTTGCCATTTAAATTCACACACTTTTCTATTTAAAGTGTAGTAAAAGGGATCCCTGGGTGGCGCAGCGGTTTGGCGCCTGCCTTTGGCCCAGGGCGCGATCCTGGAGACCCAGGATCGAATCCCACGTCAGGCTCCCGGTGCATGGAGCCTGCTTCTCCCTTTGCCTGTGTCTCTGCGCCTCTCTCTCTCTCTGTGACCATCATAAAAAAATAAAAATAAATAAATAAATAAATAAATAAATAAATAAATAAATAATAAATAAATAAAGTGTAGTAAAAATGTCACAAAGCAGCTCTAACCTCATCTAGCTTGTCCTCACTATACTCATGTGATGTACTCAGTTAAGAACCCTAATCTCCACTTTATGATATGGAAACTATGGAACTAAAAAGTCAGGAAACTTTTTCAAGGTCATGATGAACCAGAAGCACAAATGAACAAAGCTCAGCTCTGTTCTCAGGCCTCATGCTGTTCCTAAAAGAACATGATTTTATTCTCAGGAAAAATAAAACAATAAAAGAGGAAAGGGAGTACTGTACGTATTAACTCAATCTTCAGTAGCTGAGAAACTTGAGTAGCTGTATAATAGTCTCAGTTGGAAGTATTTTGACTTTGCCCAAAACAATTTCAAGGTTGAAGCACCTAGCAGTAGAAGAATTCTAAAAAGCAGAAGGTGAGGAGGCATTTAGACAACAGGAAACAGAAAAAGATATGACACTTAAGTAATGTGAAGGCCTTTTTTTTTAATGTGGTTAAACTGAAACAGTACAGTGAGAATGAACTAACAAGAAAATTCATAAAGAGAATAAATACTAATACCAAGATATTAAGACACCAGTCCCCCGGGTTCCCAAGTTTTAAGTTTATTTAATTCAAATATAAAACTAAAATTCATAATGTTTCTATTTAATCATTATTTTATGTAGAAGTAGTCTACTAAAATATCACTATGTCATTAGGGAAATACAAATCAAAACCACGACGAGATACCACCTCACAGCAGTGAGAATGGGGGAAATTAAGAAGACAGGAAACAACAAATGTTGGAGAGGATGTGGAGAAAGGGGATCCTCTAGCACTGTTGGTGGGAATGTGAACTGGTGCAGCCACTCTGGAAAACTGTGTGGAGGTTCCTCAAAGAGTTAAAAATAGATCTGCCCTACGACCCAGCAATTGCACTGCTGGGGATTTACCCCAAAGATACAGATGCAGTGAAGCGCCGGGACACCTGCACCCCAATGTTTATAGCAGCAATGTCCACAGTAGCCAAACTGTGGAAGGAGCCTCGGTGTCCATCGACAGATGAATTGATAAAGAAGATGTGATCTATATACACAATGGAATATTAGCCATTAAAAACGACAAACACTGACCATTTGCTTTGATGTGGATGGAACTGGAGCATATTATGCTGAGTGAAATAAGTCAATCGGAGAAGGACAAACATTATATGGTCTCATTCATTCGGGGAATATAAAAAAAATAGTGAAAGGGAATAAAGGGGAAAGGAGTGAAAATATCAGTGAGGGTGACAGAACATGAGAGACACCTAACTCTGGGAAATGAACAAGGGGTAGTGGAATGGGAGGCGGGTGGGGGGTTGGGGTGACTGGGTGATGGGCACTGAGGGGGACACTTGGTGGGATGAGCACTGGGTGTTATGATATATGTTGGCAAATTGAACTCCAATAAAAAAAAAATTAAAAAAATATCACTATGCCCCCAAATCCTTTTGAAATGTCTAAAAAATCCAAATTTCCCTTAATTTAGTAACAGATAATGATGTGCACATTCAGAAAGGCAGAATTGCCAAATGTTTGCCATTAATGGAAGCATAACTATTTGTAAAAGTAATCTTAATTCAGCCAATCTGAAAGCTCTTGAGCTATGGCGCCAAAACCTGTCCACATTTATGGAGAACATTTAGAGACTAATCAAAATCTAAAATAAAGTCGGCCACAGTATCTAAAAAATTAAAATGGCTAGTTTTGGTCTAAAAAAAAAAAACAAGATCTAAATATCCCAATAAACTTATTTTGGGGAGAGAGCCTAGAAAGATTTTTCTTGTTCACGTAAAGGGTTATGAAGCGGTGTCTGGCCTGGGTTGAATTCCACACTGCCTCACTCCACTGTCACTCCAGCATAATTACTACTGGTGGAGCTGCTCCAAGGACTCAGGGCGTTCAATTTTCACTCCTATATTCTTTGTATCATATGTTGTCAAATCAGGCTTCCAATTTGCAGTACATCATTCAATGCAGGGTAACCATTTACATAGGCAATTTCCAAACAAGAATGATTTATTTGCCCCTCGATGGTTTCTTCTCAACTTTTAGACTAATTCATAAAAGCGCCAGCAGGGCATGAATTCCTCTCCCCAAAATAATCTATCAATACCGTAGCCTTTTAATGTAAGGGGTAAAGGGAGTACTGTCCTCTGGATGCGGACAACGCTGCTGACCCACGCGAGGCACTGATTTGTAGTTGTCTTTGCACCGGGGTGATGGCTGTGCGCTCGGCTGCCCACGACGCCGGCTGGGTCCCCCTGGTGACCGACACTACATGAAGGCAGCAGCAGGGCTCCAAGACACAGCCTGGCAGCGGCACAGAGGGTGGAACGGGAAATCATGCAAGATGAACACGCGAACGGTACACATGACATGACTGAGAATTACGTTTGCATTGCTCGGGTATTTGAGATCGGCACCAGGCACCGTCCCCCGTCCTTTTAGGAGGCAGACCCCCACCCGCCTCTTTCTCGGGCTCCTGAGCCCGGCCTCCCGCTTAAAGCGCGGGCGTGATGGGAGGACCGAATCCAGGGGCTCAGCGCTAGGCACGCACACGTCGCTGCTCCGCGAATCTGGGGGGGAAACACTGAGGTGACAAATTGCCACAATCTTCTGAAATATGGTGGAATGACACACCACCTTTCCCACCACCGAGCGAAGACACAGAGTCCTGAAAAGCCGACCTGCGGGGCCCACCGGGGAGGGGCAGGAGAGCAGCGGACCCGGGGGAAGCCGGCGGCACGTCCGAGCCCCGGCTGCCCAGCCTCAACTCCCGGGGACGTGGGGTCGCGCCCGGGGCACGGCTCGGGGATCGCGGGACGCCAGGGGCGCCGGGGCGAGCCCAGGCGGGGAGACCCGGGCCCCGGAGCCGGGCGGCCGGGGAGGGCGCGCCGCCAGGTGCCGGACGGCAGGGGGCAGCGGGGGTCGGGCGGGCGCCGACCCGCGGGGGGGGGGGGCGCGAGTCCCGCGCGGCGAGGGGGGCCTCCCGGCGGGCTCGCCGCCGGCCTACCTGGAGGTAACAGGGTTTCCTGAGCCAGGCGCCCGGACAGAGACTCCTCGCCATGGTAATCACACATCGCCCCGCCGCGCCGCAGTCAGAGGCGGACCCGAGCGCCGGCGGCCCGGCTCCCCGCTTCCCCCGCCTCCCCCTCCTCCCCGCCCCCAGCCCGCCGGGCCCGCCCACTCCTCCGCCCCCGCCGCGCCGCGCGCCGCGCTCCCCCCGGCCCCGCTGCGGCGACGGCGGCCGGCGGCCCGAGGCTCGGCCTCCTGCTCCGCTCCGCCCCGCCGCCGCCGCCGCCGCCGCCGCGGCTGTCAGCGACGTTGCCGCCGACTCCGCCATAAAGGGGAGTCGCGCCTCGCCTCGGCCGACACAAATCCAGCTGCGCCTGGCGCTTAAAGGGGAGGCGTGCGGAGGAGGCAGGGGGCGCCGCGGCGGGCCGGCTGGCGCGCGCTCCGCGGGGCGAGGCGAGGACCCTGCGGACCCTGCGGACCTCGCCGCCCTCGCCGCGCCTCCCGCCAACCCCGATGCGGACTGCGCTCCTTCACTCGGGACGCGTCCCGGGCGCGCTGCAGGGAAATTTCGGGGACGCTCGAGGTTCGTGGCGTGGCCCCTGGCTCGACCCGCCCCTCGCGCGGCGGCGGGGCTCGGGGGCCGGGGGCGCCCCCTGCAGCCGCTGGGGGGCGGGCGGGGGGCTCTGCGCTCGCGGCGGAGCCACCGCGGACCGGGCTCCCCGCCGCTGAGCTCGCAGTGCCCCCCGAAGCCGTCCCGCCCCGTAACGGCCTTCAACTTTTTTTTCTTTTTCTTTTTGGATGTACTTTTTAAAAATTCAGACTTTTTCGGTTTGTATTGTTTTCAAGCGTCTTCAGAGTTTTTCTGGCCCCACCCAGGAACCCTGACTCAAAAGGGGAAAAAAAAAAAAACAACAACCCCAAAATACTACTGAATTAAAAACGCAGTCCCGAAGATAGGAGACCTGGGACGTGGCACAGCTACGCGGTGAAGGCTGCATAACGAAGGGTGTGGTGTCTTTCTTTTTGACAGTGAAGTCCAAATAAGGGAAAAAAAAGAGCCACCCTAGTGGGAGAACAGCTGTTGATCCGAGAGCCTTGTAGTGGAGGGAGACGCATCCTGCTTGTTCTCACCCGACAGGCCACCTTTCCACGCGATGCCAGCGCGGGTTAGGGAGCCAGCTAGACCTCCTGCTAGCTCAGTACGCCGAGAAGGGTTTTCTCCAGAAATCAACCTTTACTCACTCGCTGTGGTTTTTACCTAAACCTTGTTCTGGTGCTTTTGCTTATCTGGGGGGGGGGGGGGGGAATAAAACAACAACTTCGCACCGGCCCCTCCCCCAACCTATATACACAGATTTTAAATCAGGGTTATTGCTTGCAGATAAATCCCTCTTTTTTTTTTTTCATTGATTTTCAGTTTGGGTTAAGAGAACTCAGCTGGTTAGGTAAGAATGGATACTACTTGTTTCATTCATTCATTCATTCATTCATTCACCCAATAAATTAGTCGGACACCAGGAGTTGTTCTAGTTGTTAGGGTTATAAAGCCCAACAAAACAGACAGAAATCTCAACCCTTGTGAATGTTACATGTTTCGAGGTGGGGGTAATAGGCAATAAATAATAAATAGGACCAGTGAAATCTAATAGGGTAATAAAGCTGGTAGGGGATTTGAAAAAAAAAAGGAAAAAATAGTGAAGATGAAGGGAACTACAGGTAGTATAGGTTTGAGGAGAAAGATCAGGGTTCAGTTTGAACATCTGACATATGAGGTCTGTTAGAAATCCAAGGGAAGATCTTGAGTAGGTAGTTGTGTATTTGAGTCTGGGGTTCAAAAGAGAGGGTCAAGCCAGAAATATTTGAGTAATACTGACATTTAGATGATATTTACAGTCAAGAAACTGGACAATATCACCAAAGGAGTGAGTGTAAATAGGAGAGAACCAAGGATGAAGCTAGCAAAGGAGATTGAGAAGGAGCAGCCAGTGAAGGAGGAAAGCCAAGAGATGCCTGGAAGTGGAGTAAAGATAGTGTATCAAGGAGAGGTGAATGCTTATATGTAAGGACTGAGAACTAACCTTTGGATTTAGTACCATGGAAGCTAATGGTAACACTTCAGTGGAGCAATGGGAGAAATTTTGATCCATGTGGGTTTAAGAAAAAAAATGGGGGGAGGGAATTAGGATATCTAATACAATTCTTTTGAGAAGTTCTTTCTAAAGGGGAGCCCAAAAATGAGCAATAACTGGTGGTGGAAGTGGAGTCAAAAGCAGATTGACAAATTGGGAGAAAAACTTGGTTTTGAGCAGAATGATCTGGAAAAGATCTGGAAGATGAAAAATTAATGTAGCATCAAGAAGAGAGAATTGCTGGGACGCCTGGGTAGCTCAGCGGTTCAGCATCTGCCTTCAGCTCACGGTGTGATCCCCAGGTCCAGGATCAAATCCACATCAGGCCCCTTGCAGGGAGCCTTCTTCTCCCTCTGTGTCTCTGCCTTTCTCTGTGTCTCTCATGAATAAATAAAATCTTTAAAAAAAAAAACCCTTATCTTGAAAAAAAGAATTGCTGAAGCAGTGTCACTGAGTGAGAGAGAGTTTGGAATCTAGCACACAAGTGAAAGGATCTTCTATGGGAACAGGCAAGCAGGTGGATAGGAGGGGTTGTGGGAATCTGTGGAAGTTCTCTTCTGATCATTTCAATTTTCTCAGAGACAAAGGAAGTAAGGTCATCAATAGAGAGGTGCAGGGGCACTGGGGTGGCTTAAGTGGTTGAGTGTCTGCCTTCACACTCAGAGTGTGATCCTGGAGTCCCGGAATTGAGTCCCACATCAGGCTCCCTGCATGGAGCCTGCTTTTCCCTCTGCCTATGTCTCTGCCTCTCTCTCCGTGTCTCTCATGAATACATAAAATATTTTAAAAAAATAGAGAGGTGCAGAAGATAACAGAGCTTTGAAGAGAAAAGAGACGATGTGAAGTAGTTATCGAGGAGAATGGGAAGATGAATGAACTAAGGAAAAATTCTGAGTGCCATAAAGGACCCACTTGAGTTCAGGATCATGAAGGTAAGTGAGATAAGTCAGTGTGGTTGTGCTTTTTTTTTTTTTTTTTGGTCCAATAATAATTAGCTACCAGGATGCAGGTTCAGAGCAGGCTTAGAATTCTTTTTAATCAGGTTTACCAAGGAAAGAGCAAGGAAGTTGAGAATATAAGTAAGGGAGTGATTATGATTCTCCATGGAGTTTAGGATGAAGGAAGAATGAATATGGAGAGATTAAGGACAGAGAAAGGTGGTAGGATCAATGAATTCCAAGATTTTGTGGGTTTGAGAGACTGTAAGAGTCAGAGAATAAAGGGGAATGAACTGGAAAGATAGATGTATAATGAAGAGTCTGACTCCACTTTTTAAATACTCATTGGCAGCTTTCAAGCCCCACCTCTCCTCTTTTCCGTCTGCCCCACATCTGAGAGAACTGATAAGATAGCTCCTTTGGTGCTAGTGGAAAATTCAAACCATGGAACACTCACCCCACTTGAGGGAACCTTCATCCTGGTCCCACCCCTCAATCACCATAAAACCCTAAGATAGTCTCTTTCTCTGTTCCCTCAGCCCATATTTGTACCAGCTTAGGAGCCTGCCCTGCTTTCTACTTTTTGAAAGCTACTTTTTGTGAATGTTAAAACTATTTTTTTAAGATTTTATTTTTAAGTAATCTCTACACCAAACATGGGGCTCAAATTCACAACTCTGAAACCAAGAGCCACAAACTCCACAACTGATCCAGCTAGGTGCCCCATACAACTTTGCATACTCTCGGGTACATGAATGTTAGTCTTGACATTCAAACAAAATTTGGGGTAGAGGAGTCCATCCTACTTCTGCAGTGACCACAGCAATATGGTCATTAGAGTGGGGTGCATGAAAACAAGATTATGGAGAAGTGTTGAAGTCTAGAGTGAAATACAACAATGGCAGTGAATGCCTAAGAAGTGTGGATACAGTGTCATTGGAAAAGAGTCAAGGAGAGTGCCATAAGGATTATGTATGTATGTATGTGTTGAAAATAGGACTTAGAATTAGGAGAGATGCTAGAGAGGATGCCAGTAGCCCTGGGAAAATCAGGCAGAGTGATTATGAGTGAGTAGGTGACTACCACAATGACGAGAGTAACAACACCAGAGGACATGAGTTAAAAAACAAAGCAAATACTGAGCAGGGGGAGAAATTAGAAAAGGAAGAGGAAGAACAGACTGAAAGAAGCAATGAACAGCAAGGAAGATTCTTAGCCCACCTCCAAGTCCAGTGGTATGAGGTCTCTGGAAAGGCTGCTGGGACAATTGCATCTACAGAATGTGAGCCAGGCTTGCTTTAGAACAAGGTGAAGGAAATATTCAGAGAAGAGAGTGAGGATACAGAGGATTTTGCTGGTGATGGACCATGAATTCCAGAGGACACAGTGGAATAGTCTCAGAATTTGAGGAGTGGCCAGAAAAGGATTCAAAACAGGTCATATGAAGAGCTTTGAGTGGACCAGCGGGTGATAGATGAAAGGTGACCTGGGAGTCTTCAATTTTCCCTGGTAAGAGATATAATAAACAGGAATAACAAAGACAAAAGTTCAACCAAATGAGAAGAAACAATTACTCAGCTTTTATTTAGAGTCAACAAAGCTTAAGTTAGTTAATATTTTCTTATGTGGAAAGAAAAAATTAGTTTAGATCATTTTATTTTTTTTAAATTTTATTCATTCATGAGAGACACAACAGAGAGAGGCAGGAACATAGGCAGAGGGCCCTGCAAGGAGCCCAGTGTGGGACTCAAACCCGGACCCCAGAATTACATCCCGAGCCGAAGGCAGATGCTCAATCACTGAGCCACTCAGGTGCCCCAGTTTAGATCATTTTCATTTCAAACTTGGGTTGTTTTCCTTGTCATCATATGTTCCAAGAACCTGAAAGAGAAACGTGGGGCTAGAGCAATTTCCCAAGGTCCACACTGTGAGCCTCATTATAGGTGGGTTTGATGAGCCCTCATACAACTAGACTTGTATTTTTGTTTTTTTGTTTTGCTTTTTTTTTTTTTAATTTTAGACTTGTACTTTTGGTTTTAAAT